CATTTGTTGCAGGTCCCATAGAGGCGGTAAGCAACAGGGTCTTGAGTTTTAAATGATTTTTGCCTGTCAGAATATGATTTTGAGTCAAAATTTTGGTTCATTTTTTGTGACAAATCAGGATACAATAAGTCAAGTCTTGATCGAATTTGACGTCCAATGAAGAGATGTGAAGGAGACTGTCCTGTAGTACTATGTGGAGCTCTTCGATAGGCCATTAAATATCTCTGTAATTTCAACTCAATTGAGCCTTCCTCAAAGTGCATGGCTCTGATGGTATCTTTCAAGTCTTGTACATAGCGTTCTACTTGGCCATTAGTAGCAGGATGGTAAGGTGCTGATCTCTTGTGTCTAATTCCGTTTGATTTAAGAAATTTTTCAAACTCTAACGAAACAAATTGCCTTCCGTTGTCTGACACTAATATGTCAGGGATTCCAAAAGAGCCAAAGAATTTCCGCAAAGCCTCAATGGTTTTATGTGAATTTATAGTTGTAAGTGTTACAATCTCTGTAACAGTTGGCCCCCCCCACAGTTTTTCGGTTATAGCTCCTGAACCGTAAGAGCACTAACGATGGGAGTTGAAGCACTAACCAGCACTAACGAAGCACTAACCATTAATACTAGTTTAATTGTTAGTGCTTTTATGGGGGGGGCTAACTTCACGGACCTGAATTCTACTGTCCTTCGTCTACAAGAGCGTATATAAAACAACGTTTTTGTACTTTTCACATTGTATAGATATGCGATTTAGAAATCGACATTTTATGTCGATCCGCCACATGAACAATACGTAAAAATAGGCTATTTACAAAAATTGTTCATCAGCTGTTGGAATGTATTATGACGTTATACTTTATACAGAATAAAAGATTACTTCATGCTTGTTGCAGTGGTACCACTTGCTTTTATCAGAGACAAAAATAATGTCTGCTATTTATTTTTGAAATGACTCATCTTTTACGATTGCGCAACAAAACATGGCGTTCGCGAGTTTGCGCGTATTTTTCGTTTAAATGTAACTCATTATAAGATCGATATATTTATGTTATAAGGTTCATCTATTCTATATATATAATTCAGTTTTAAAAATCTTTGTACAACTAAATCTAGATTTCTACTGGACCGATTTTATTAATTAATGGGTCGTTGGAAAGCTTAATGCGTGTAGATTTGCAAATAATTATGAAAGTTTGTTTTTGTTATGATTTATGGTGAAAAATTAAAAAAAAAACATGTTTTCCATAAGAAATACACTGAAAACGGTGTTTTTCACACTTTTTATTTGAGTGCGACTTTTGGCTGCCTTTCTTGAGTGTTTCCAAGAAGTATATAGTATCAATTTGAAGGAAATTTTATTCTCTTTCAGAATATCACCTTCCACTTTGGTCGATTTCCTCACCATTTAAAAGTTATTTGCAAAAAAGCTAAGCAACCTCAGAATTTATAGTAATGAGAGAATACTGAGTCAGGGATATTTTTGTTAAACTTTGTACAACTAAATCTAGACTTCTACTCGACCGATTTTGTTAATTAATGGGTCATTGGAAAGCCCAACTCATGTAGATTTGCAAATAATTATGAAAGTATGATTTTATTAAATCTTTGTGGTAAATAATAAAAAATAACAAAAATACTAGGGATGGTCAAGTCTCGAAATTTCGGGAAATTTTAAATCTCGTTACACGAGACGAGATTTCTTTTTAGCCGAGATTTTTATCAAGACGAGAATAAAAATAAAAAAAAAATTTAAATTTAAAAACGCCTGCAGAAAGTCAATGCAATACCCGCAATAGAGGAGCGTGTTGTAGTTGCGTTTCCTTTGCGAAGGCGTTCTTATTTAATTAATTCTTTAAATGTAAATATTACTTTAATTATTTAAATAATATTACTTTAATAATGTTTTATTACTATAAAAAGTCAAAACAAGTAACTATATAAAAACTAATATTGCTTTTATTTTATGATTTATTTTATTTTAGGATAAGTTGAACTCTATCCTAACTGATATCACTATGTTTTCTAATCGTAGGCATTTTTAATAAGTTAGGCGTGATTAATTAAAAAATGTTATGCTGATGTTTTTTAATAAAATATTGTAAATATTCTTGCCTATTATCATTATTTTTGTATTTAAACAGTCATCTAACAATGTTACAAAATCAGGTAAAAATTTTGAACGTGTATTTCCCGTTGTGTATGAGAAGGGAAATCCCGTCTCGATCTCGTCTCAAAATTTTATGAGAAATAAAAAATCTCGCCTCGTCTCGTCTCGAACTAAAAATCCAATCTCGTCCATCCCTAAAAAATACATTAAAAACTGTTTTTTTCAAGTTTCTGTTTTCAAGTTTCTATTTGTAGCCAGCTTTTGGCTGTCTTTATTAAGCATTTTCAAGAAATGCATAGTAGTTATTTGTAGTAAATCTTATTCTCTTTCAGAATATCACGTCCACTTTGGTCGATTTACGCTCCATTTAAGAGTTATTGGCAATAATCTAAGTGATCTCTAAATTTATAGTGGTGAAAAAATACTGAATTTGATATATTTTTGTTAAACTTTGTACAACTAAATCTAGACTTCTACAGGACCGATTTTGTTACTTAATGGGTCGTTTGAAAGCCTCATTCGTGTAGATTTGCAAATAATTATGAAAGTTTGATTTTATTACATATTTGAGGTAAAACAATAAAAATAAACAATATTACTTTTAAAACACCTTTTTTTCCAAGTTTATATTTTTTTGTAGCCAACTTTAGGCTGTCTTTATTGAGTATTTTCCAGAAATACATAATAGTAATTTGTAAGAAATTTTATTCTCTTTCAGAATATCACCTTCCACTTTGGTCGATTTCCTCACCATTTCAAAGTTATTTGCAAAAACGTTAAGCAACCTCCAAATTTATAATGGTGAGAAAATACTGAACTAAAGATTTTGTTGTTAAACTTTGTACAATTAAATATACAGTTCTACTAAACCAATTTAATACTTAATAGGTCATTGGAAAGCCTAATTCGTGTAGATTTGCAAATAATTATGAAAGTTAGATTTTATAAAGATTTACTAGGTGAAACCTGTCAAATGACAGTTGCTATTGAGGTTGCAAACAAGACCGTTTGACTATAAATCGATGATAAATAACTCCGTTTTTAAAACAATTTGGGTTGTTCGTGATTTAGCAGTGTTCTTTAGGTACGTCCGATCTTAATAATCGATAATGCAAATGGAAGCTGGTATTTCACTGAAGGTTCTTAAGTCAAAACAAATAGAATAACGTAATTAGAATTGAGTAAATATATCTAAAACTAAATTCCATATCCAAGATATAATTAAATTTATGTTTTCTGATTGAGCGATACAGTATATCTTTAACTTAACTGATTAAAACTATCAATATCTCAAGTGAAAGCCTTTAAAGTATTTTAAGACCAAGACACATAAAATAACTTAAATAACTTAAATAAAATTTGAGTTAAGTATCATTGATTGCAGATAAGTACTAAAACGATTATAAATATTGTTGATTCGTGATTCAGCAGTGTGCTTTAGGTAGGATTATTAAGATCTTAATCTTAATAATCAATAGCTCAATTTGAAAGCTGGTATTTCACCAAAGGTTTTTAGACCAAAACATATAGGGTAATGTAATTAGAACTGCTGGAATACATCCAGCAGTACATCTTTATTTGAAGTAAAAAAAAAAAAATCAAATTTATATTTTTTCGTTTAGTAATACATTAGATAAATTAATGATGACGCTTGATGACAAATATGTGCTTGAATAGCTTTATTTTAAGACCAAAATTATGAAAATCGGGCTGGTAGAAAAGCCAAACGAACTCGAAAAAACCCAAATTTAACTCCCATAAGATATGTACTGTGCATTACTCGAAATATACGTCGAAATGAATGCCGATGATTGATGGCAAATCTGTGGTGCGTCCTTGCCTTTAGTTTAAGGCCAAAATTGCTGCTACAGTGAGGTTAATAAGGTGTGTTTTTTAGTAAAATATGAATAGCTTAGTCTGTATATATAAAATCCAATGTATGTTTGTTTGTTTGTTTGTCCTTTATGGACTCAAGAACCACTCAACAGATTGTAATGAAAATTTCAGGCATTGTTAAGCATTATTCAAAGATGGTATGTGTGAAGTTTGGTGCAGATCCGTCAAAAGGGCTCCACCCCAGTGGCTCTGGAGTTTCCCATGTTAACCTTATGAGTACTCATATTAATGAATATTAACAGCTGGTTCAACTAAACAATTTGATTCTCTGTGATGTTCAATAGCATTAAAAAGTTAATAGGTTTACCAACAGGGTGCAGCACTATTATTCTTTTAAATTTATGACAACAGCTAATTTGCAACCAAAAGGTCAGTGAGCGTAGCGAACGAACTTCAACCTGGAGGCGAGTTAGCGTAGCAAACGAGCTAACCTGAAGGCAAGTGAGCGCAGCGAACGAGCTCCAACCTAAATGTGAGTGAGCGTAGCAAACGAACTTCAACCAGGACGTGATTGAGCCATGCAAATGAGCTCATCTTGAAAATGAACGAGCATTTGACATAAAACCACATTAGGACAGGACGACGTCTGTCGGGCCAGCTAGTATGATATAAAAAAATGTGCCAAGTGTTACATAATAATTTTGACAGCAAATATTTTTGATCTTGGATCTTGGTGACAAGGTTAAAGCTTTCACTACAGCTAAATCTCATTCACCTTAGCTTACAAACATTGTAATGCTATTAGACCAATGCTTCAACAAACTATTCAATAGGTCTGCTGCTAGCCACTTGGATCACTTATTATAGTGTTAGTGTTTTCCTTTTCTATTCGATAAGCTCTTCAACATCACAATTCACAACAACTAGTTTTAAGATTGTCCATTTCGTTGTAGTATCTCATTTCAAGTAGAATGCATAGTTTTCGTCTGTTGGTAGCAGAAAATACAGTTTTATGATGATAAGAATAACATAGACACTTTTTAAGATGATGGGGTTCCTCACCAGTGGCAGTCTGCTGATGACATGTGCCAGGGGGTTGCTGACTCTTACCAGTCTCACACCCACCACACGGCCCTCCCAGTTCACAGGAGCACCCACCAACTGTAACATGAAAGGAATCATTTTAAGCAGGGATGTGTTGATTCTCAATATTCATTCTTGATACAGATCTCATTTTAAACTCCCAAAAGTTTGGTTTTTTCAACCCAATCTATTTGAGTGTTATTAATAAAAATCATGATTATTTTGATTTTGTTTTGTAGTAAATTGAATATAATTCAAAATCAAAATAATAATGATTTTAACATTTTTATTAATAACACTCAAATAGATTGGGTTGAAAAACCCAAATTTTTGGGAGTTCACATTGATCTTAGTTGGGATTTGCACACCGAACATTTATTGGAAAAATAAAATTCAGGAATTTACACCTTGAAAAGATTGTATTATCTCTGTAACTTATCTGTTTTAAGGAATGTTTTTCATGCCCATCTGCAATCCCATTTATCTTCAGGAATTTAATTTGTGTGTACGGATTAACAAAACCTTGATAAAATTTTAGGTTATCAAAAAAGAGCAGTAAGAGCCATGTTAAATCTTAAGTCTGATGAGTCTGCAAAGCAGCATTTAATTGAACAAAACATTTGAACAGTTTGTATATCTTAGAATGTGTAACGCATGTTTAAAAAATAAAGACAATTTTCTAACTCATCAAGACGTAAGAACATGGTTACAATACTAGAAATAAAAGTAGTATACCAAGTAGTATTACCATCTCATAATTCCAAGCTATTTATAAAGAAACCATCCTATGCCGGTTCTGTATTTTTTTTAAACACATCCCCGAAGAAATACTGATACTATAACTCCTAAGCTAACTCCTAAAAGCAGCGCCACCAGAGTTGCTATGCTGAGTGCATGGCAACGCTGGTGGCGCTGCCTACGAATTGACAGTCAAAGCTCTCTCAAAACACTTAATGCTTTTTACCATGCGGTTGGCATTCTGGGTTATAGTAGTATGTTTTCTGTGCCCGTACACACATGAAAATTCAGTTAGAGTTCGTTAGTTGCCGGTAAAGCTATAACAGCGTACCTTTTCTCTCTCTCATTTTTGTCCGCGCCTTTTCCATGGGCGTTTTGGATTAATTGTCTCTTTATCATTCTTTCTCTTATGTATTATTGTTCACTTTAAAATAAAAGTCTTTTTATTACTCTTAACATGAATTCAGTGATTATAGTTCCTTGTTTTGTGCTAAATTAATCCCCTCAGTGCTCCATCCTTCTAGACCTTCTTGTGCAGGTTCTCAGGACAATTCTACGTGGACGTATCGTTAACGGTCTACCGCAGAAGACATTAGTGTAAGACATTCGTTTACGTTAAACTCTCACTTCAAGATCAATATCCATCCCTTTCCCTCCCCCAAGAGCACCTTTCCCTCTGTGCAACGCCCTAGCTTGGGCCTTTCCCCTCTCCTTAAAGAACAATGGAAACTGGTGAGTGACTTCAATTTAATTAAGGTGTTCGCAAGCTTTTTGGTTGCCGACCTAATCGGGTGCTCTTTCAATTGATACTAATTTTTTAACTATCTTCTCTATTTTTTGTAATTATCATATTTTATCCTCCCACTGAACGGAATTTTATTTTTTTTAAGAGCTACCTATATAAATTAAGTAATGTGAATGATGTTCAACTCTTCTAAAAATTATCTGAAATGTATTAGGTTAGATGATATAAGTTTAAACTGCTGTGACCACTATTTATTGTATTTGATGCACCTACATGAACAAATAAAGACATTTTGAATTGAATACCACCGATACGTATTGGTATCAGTAACGAGAATTGATTGTCAAAAGTCGATTCCAATATCGATACCCGATACGTCTACAAGGTTCGCGCGATCGGAAAAATTTTGCTATTGCCACTATCAAACAAGACAACGATGATGTTTCCGTGACTGTGAGAGACAATAATGATCTCTACATGGCCACGGGAGATTATCAAAGCTTTTCCCCAAAATGCGGAAGTCGATGATGATGACTACACAGCTGAGGTGGACAATGTCTAAACAGCCGATAAATAAGAATGAATTTTCCATGATTGCCGGAACACAATGATAATGTTTACATCACCGCTAAGGGGTATTTGGGATTTTATCCTGAACCGCAGGAGACGATAATGATGTCCACACGACCGCGGGAAATTGTCAAAATTTGGCCGCGAACCTGGGAGACGATGATAACGTTTCTGTCACTGCGGGAGACAATGATAGTATTTCCGTGACTGACAAAGATATTCAGGATTTTGCTGTAATCCCAGAAGACTACAATGATGTCTCCATGACCGTGGGAGAAGATCATGATATTACCTCGAGGTTGGCTTTGACCAAAAATATAAGGCTGGCACACCACTAGTAATAATAAAATTTATTTTTAGATTTTTTTGGACTTAATTAAGATATGGTATTTAATTATTGTATTAAGAACTTAACCCTTTGTGATCGGAATTAATATTTGCTGCAATTCCTCACTGGCCGCCGCCATTAGCGTTCGGAAGTAGTTTTTTCCCCACAACAGTTGTCCTTCGGTTGCGATCGGACGGCGGGACGGCCAGCGGTGCTGGCCAACATGAAATCCAATGAACGCTCGGGCGTCCAGCAGGCCTGGCCTACAACAATGTTTTTGTTTGTAATATTCCAATCTGACTGGTATGATGCCTGTAGAGTGCTGCTACCCAGTGAGGATTTGTTAAACTAAGCGATCAGCAGGCTTGCAACATTGTATCGTAAAAATTGTGGTGGAAACAACTAAAATAAACACCAGCTAACCAGCTGTTGTTCTGGCACAAGTGCTGTCATAATCATCATTTTTGGATCAGTTTTACATGATTTTCTCGAGAGATTTGTCTTTTTGTAATTTTAATAAAATTTTAGTGTACATTTGAGGTGATTATAAGAACACTTGTACGTTAACATATCGGCCTACACTTTTATCAGAATTTGGCTCACAATAAAACTCTCGTATAAGCATTTAGTAGTTAGAATGGGGTTATGTTTGTTTTTATTTCCGTATGTTTAACTAAGTAATAATGGACGATCGTTTAAGATCGGAAGAATTGAGAGACTTATTATTTGCTGATGAAGAAGATGTTGACAATCGTGATATTTATTATGGATCAGACCACGAAAGCGATGTTAAGTGTTTTTGTAAAACTTGTTTTAACAATCCAGGACTTTTTTATGGGGAATGTAAAAAAAATACCACCTTACCTCCTTGGCCACTCAAACCTAAGAAGGTTTTTGGCCTCTCCAACAAGTTGCCTCCACTGCTGCCGGTCTGCCGCCATGTCAAGAGATGCCCCCACTCTGCGTAGGTCCTTCTGGACTTGGTCTCTCCATCTCAACTTCGGTCTTCCTAGCGGGCGAGTGCCTCGTGGTTGTCCATTGGCGATCTTCTTAAGCACACTTTCTTCTTCCCTTCTTTCTACATGGCCTGCCCATCTCAGTCGTCTACTCTTCACTATGGCTACAATGTCCGGTTCTTTGTACAGTTCTCGGAGCTCTCGGTTTTTTCTTATTCGCCACATACCTTCTTCGTTTATAGGTCCAAAAATCTTCCTCAAAATTTTGTTCTCAAAAATTATAAGTTTGTTTTCATGATTTTTAGTTAATGTCCAGGTTTCCGAACCATATAAAAGCACTGGTTGAATTAAAGTTTTATAGATTCTTAATTTTGTGTTTTTGGATAGTATTTTTGAACTAAATATTTTTGATACGCCCCAGAAACATTTGGTTGCTGCAATCAGTCTCTTTTCTATTCCTGTTCCTCTTTCGTTATTCCAGTTAACTGAGACTCCGAGGTATTTAAATTCGTTTACTCTTTCAAAATTATGGTTATTGACCCTAAAAGGTTCAGCTCCTTCAGTTTGGGTTCTTCCGACTTTCAGATATTTTGACTTCTCTTCACTTATCTTAAGTCCAATCTTATTTGCTTCCCTTATAATAATCTCAGTAAGCTTACCTAGGTCCTCTTTTGATTCTGCAACTAATGCAACATCATCCGCAAAAGCAAGTGTGTTTACTTTAGATCCGAGGTTTATTCCAGCTTCGATATATTTAGTGCTTTTTAAGGTTTCTTCTATTGCAATATTGAAAAGAATTGGTGAAAGTCCATCCCCTTGTCTAACCCCTGAATGGGTTTGGAAGGTTTCTGAGTATTCATTTGTATGTTAACGTACAAAAAATACACAAAGGAACATGGACATCTCCAGGTGGAAACACAGTGAACCAAATAGACCACGTGTTAATAGATAAAAGAAATAAACGTTGGATTACAGATGTACGAAGCCTTCGTGGAGCGGAATGTGGCTCTGATCATTACTTAGTCTTGACAACAATAAAACAAGGCTAGCAACTGTGAAAAGGGATAAAAAGAGAGCAGGAAGAAGATTTGATGTAGAAAAGTTATACTCCCTAAGACATTCCACCAATAGTCCGTGGGTTTTAATAGTTTGAAAATTTATTAATTAGGTCGGAGACAACCTTATGCTGAGGTTTTATGTAGCCTACATGCACTCAAAACCAATTTAAGGAAAAAAATGTTTTTCTTTGATGACACTTCAGATTTGTAATTAATGTTAATAGAAATCATATTATGTCTTGCTGTAACTTTAAATTTACTATCCTTTAGTGGTAGACAGGTAGCATGGATAAATCCCAATCACTTCAATGATATTGATGTTTATTTACTTGAACTCAAATTCAAAGACATGTTACAACCAAAATAAATTCTTCCTTCAAAAATAAGACTACATTAAATAAACAGTTGGCTATATTAGACCCCAAAACAAAATAAATGTGTGGATCTTACTTTAAACTGTGACATAATCAGTGGTTAGGCTCCCCTGGGCTGTTCTTACTGCTACTCAAGTTATGGACATTCACCATGGCAGTATATAAGGTAATTAATTCACCTTGAATCTAGTCTTGTCGACGAGTTCTCAACAAACTTAGCCCAGTGCTGACCTTCCACTGACCTATGTAACGGCTAATTTTTAAATTATCAGTAGTACCACATTATAAGGCAAAATACTCTGCTATTCC